AGCCCTCGTGTAGTTTTGCGCGAAATTCAAAACAAACAAAACATTTATAGAACTGATGTGAAATATCTTCAATTTCAGAGATCGAAAAAGAGGATTTTATTTCTGTACAATGAGTGGTTGAAGAGGAGACATTCCTACCTGCATTACATGAAACACAAAATTCGGAAAGCAGCAAGACGAAAGCTTTTATCACCAGTAAGTTGATTAATTTATATATATATACTTAAAATTAGATTATTAACAATATAAATATGTACCTAACACACAAAACTGGGAAAAAAACACATATTTATTGGTTTGTTTGTTGAGATTCGAGAAGGATCATGTCTGTTCGTGGCAACTCTAGTTTTTCTATGCGCCCTCTATTTTTGTATATATAAGCCGGCAAAAGAAGTGGCGGCATGAAGAATGGCAGATAGACAGATATAGAGTTTGTTTAGTTTTTGTTTGTTGTTTGAGTTTCGCGCAAAGCTACACTAGGGATATCTGCGCTAGCCGTCCCTAATTTAGCAGTGTAAGACTAGAGGGAAGGCAGCTAGCCATCACCACCCACCGCCAACTCTTGGGCTACTCTTTTACCGACGAATAATGATCGCCCTTTCAATTGTGGAGGCGTTATAATGTTACGGTCAATCCCACTATTCGATGGTAAAAGCGTAGACCGAGAGTTGGCGGTGGGGGGTGATGATGACTAACTGCCTTCCCTCTAGTCTTTCACTGCTAAATTAGGGACGGCTAGCGCAGATAGCCCTCGTGTACCTTTGCGCGAAATTTAAAAAAAAAATAGTTTCTATTATTATGTATTATTACACTTAGTTCTTAAACTCTGCCAAGAAAAACTCGATTTCATCACTTTGATACTACTCCGTCAATAAGATTTTTTTCCCTTTGCTATGATTACTAAAAAAATAACAACTATAAAAAAAAATAATCGTCAAAAAGATAAGTGTTCTTTGTTTGTAGTTGTGGAATCAACTGAAACTATAATTTCCTGTTTTTGCATCTTTATCTTATTTGAGAAACTCTGTTTCGTAAAATATTTCTAAAAACTGACTATGACAATAAAAGGTGACAACCAGACAAAAAGTAAAACATTCCAAACGTGCAGTGTTATAATTGGTCGTTTTAACACCATATAGATCAAGCCAACTTTTTTGGACAAATTGTTCAAAAATAAACCCTTTGTAGCCAAGCTGTTTACGTTATTTGTTCCAAGTGACAGGAAGTGTTTACTTTGTGAAGATCCACAAAAAGCTGATTTCCACTTCTGTGAGAACAAGAAGTGTAACTTTTGTTATTGCAAACAGTGTTGGAGTGAACTTAAGGTAAGTTCAGGTAATGAAATGTGTTTCAGTTTTGTTTTTTTTATTGACATTTTTACGAAGAAATATAATCCCATAACCTCTGAAAGACTGTCATGTTTTAACTGCTCAGGAAGTATTTTTATTATTCTTTGTTGTGTTTTTTTTTTCTGGTACTTGTAAAGAAGAGCCTAAACAAGAACATTTTTTTTATAAAACATATTGTTTTGGCAATGTCATTAGAGTAAGGAACAAATGTAGACACAGAAACAGTTTGGATGTGTTGAAATTAAGTTCTACGTAGTACCTTCATATGTAGCAAGTTAAGTAATTTAGTTAAGTTTGGCTGTGATCGAACTGAAAACACTAGAAGTAAAGTTTACTTTAAATTCATGTATGCCTTATTTTCTCGGTTTTGTACATATATATAAAAACAATTACTCATTGGTGATATTTCACCAACTTATTGGACTAGCCAATTGACCTGAGCTGTAATCAAATTGTGTGCATGACAGCGGATGTTTTTTTTTTATTCCCACTGTGGACAAGACGGTCATACATCAGTATGTAAGATACACACTCCGGAATTATCACAAGTAACATCAGAAGTGGATGTTTTTATTGGTTCCCACTGTGGACAAGATGATGATACATCAGTATTTAAGACACACACATAGAATTACCACAGGTAACATCAGAAGTGGATGGTTTTTATTGGTTCCCACTGTGGACCAGATGATCATACATCAGTATTTAAGACACACATATCGAATTATCACAAGTAACATCAGAAGCATTGTTCGTTGCAGTTTTTTAAATATCAGAGCTGCTTTATAAGATGTTAATCAGGATTTTTACACATGCATTAAACAAATGAAGAATGCTCTATAAAAATGAGGCCTGGCTATTTGTATCAAATTACTTTAACTCATGCAAAAGATTTGAAAGTCATGCATTTATGGAGATTACCAATAATGTCAATGCTTTAATCAAAACTGTCTCCTTAACTTAAAGAACAGCAGATGGAAACTCAAAAAAAAATCATACAAGTTAAAACTTCCCCACAACTTTCAACCAGAAATGGGTTTAAAATTGTAACAACTTAAATGATGGTGCAAAAACTGAACTGTGTATATAATCATACAAGTAAACATGTCAACCTTTTTTTTTGTACAGCAATGTTATGCTTGCAACGCCAAAGACTATGATCATGGTTCAGATATTACAGACGATGATGATGACTGGTGAGAAAAAAAAAAGAGATTCATTAATAATCATTGTTAAAATTGTTTACAGAGAGTGAGATTGTGTATTTTACTTTTCGACAAAGTAAAATAAATAAAATTTATGTAACGAGAAGTTTTGTTTACTTTTCGATAAAGTAAAAGCAATAAAATTTGTGCAACGAGGAGTTTTATTGTGGGCGTGTCTTTCACTCATTACAAATGAATTTATTTCCAGGATATTTTACACAGTCGGAAGTTAGGCCCACAAATCACCTACTGGAGGACGTTTATGTAAAGAACAAAGAAATCACTTTGAGATCAGTGAACAAAACACCACACATATTTTTATTATTCAAATACATAAATACAAGTCATTAACCTTCCAATATTTTATATTACCGCTACAAATACAGTCAGCAAAGCTAGTGAACATTCTGTTATTTTGATTAGATCATTCCATTCGCTAGTCACGATTGCTTATACACTGCTAGATAACAGTAAGATGACAAAGAAAATTTACACTAAGGTTGGGTAGTGAAAATTTCTGGCCATTCTACTAATTTTGCTTAGCCACTGCTGAAGGACTGGCTTCTGGCTGTAGAACTGAAACAACGTTCAATAAAGGCTTCTTCTATTACTTTAAAATGACTCTCATATAGCCAGTGGCACTTACAACGCTAGAAACCAGGTTTCGATACCCGTGGTGGGCAGAGCACAGATAGCCCTTGTGTAGCTTTGTGGATAATTAAAGACAAACAAACAAATACAGACTCTCATATAGGATTTTTATATCATGTTTGGGAGTAGTATCAAACCCATGTTAATCCAATATGATCTTCAGTGTGATTCACTCTAAACATTGATGTGGTGGACACTTGACCCTTCTGCCTTATACATATTTCAACAACGTCTGTTGAAGGACTTTTTTTTTATACTGATAAATTATGTTACTGTTTACTGTTTGTTTTTTAAATTTCGCGCAAAGCTACACGAGGGCTATCTGCGCTAGCCGTCCCTAATTTAGCAGTCTAAGACTAGAGGGAAGGCAGCTAGTCATCACCACCCACCGCCAACTCTTGGGCTACATTGTTTACCAACGAATAGTGGGATTGACCGTCACATAATAACGCCCCCACGGCTGAAAGGGCCAGCATGTTTGGTGGGACGGGGATTCGAACCCGCGACCCGCAGAGTTGCAAGTCGAGTGCCCTACCCCCTTGGCCATGCCGGGCACTCTTGTTTCAAAAACAGTTTATAGTTTTTATTTGATTTGATTCTTGTTTTCATACTTATAGATTAAATCTAATTTTGTGGATATGATTATTAGCTTTTTGATCTTAACTTCAGGCACCCTTAAGCTAATATCAAAATTACAACATTAAACATATAGATTATAACACTACCCCTTCCTGGATTGAAAGTTCTTTGAACGATTAAAATACACAAAAAAATAAAATAAAACACTACACTGAACAATCCATTCACCAAGTCTTGTTGGTGGTTTTCTCTTCTGAAGTGCATAACATACAGATAGAATAATATATTGTCTCATGTTTCAGGGCCTACCCTGTATATAATTGGAAGAGTTCTTAGTAGGTATGTGGTTGAGTGAATCCCCTTGCAGCTTTATTTCTGATGATCCCCTGGAAATTGTCTCGCCGGGAACTCCAAATTTCTTAGTAGGTTGAGTTTCTGCTGAAAGGATCTTAACTGGAATTCACCAGTTGGTCATTATCTCACTGGCACATTTCCTAAAAAAGATCATGATGGATGACCTAGGAACTGGATCACCTGTCTTTCTGGATTGTGTAATTGGATGACCTAGGAACTGGATCACCTGTCTTTCTGGATTGTGTAATTGGATGACCTAGGAACTGGATCACCTGTCTTTCTGGATTGTGTAAAACATATTATTCTTTCATTTCAATACAGCATATAGCCTCTCCCAGAACCTTCCAGTTTTTTGAATATTTGTTCGGTATCAGCCTTGAAGTACTTCGTTTAGAGAATGATCTATGTCAGAGAAGAATTTTACAATGCAGCAGCATTACATAATCCAAATGATAACACAATAAGTTTCACAATCCATTTCCTACTGTAAAGGCTGTCTTCTTAATTTGTCGACTTCTACTTGCAAATATCCACTCTTAAAATGTGATGTTGAAAAACCTTCCGATTCACATAGAGAATCCAAAGTAGAATCAATCCCTGGCTGTGAGTAGGCATCCTTCATTCACTTTCTTGTAATCAATATACAATCTTGTGGATCCGTCCATTTTGGTCACAAGTAGAATAGGTGATGCCCACAGACTAGTACTGCAATGTATAAGTTCTTGTTTCTTCATTGCTTTGATCTCTTTCAAAGCCTCAACCTATTTTGCATGTGGGAGTCGTCTGGTTAATTGATGTATTGGGAATTGCATTTCAAGTATCAGCCTTATGAAATATTTTCCTTGTTTAGCATAAGTCATGTGGTCCACTTTATAATGTGTCTTGGTATTCCATAAGCAAGTTATATATAACTGCAGACACTAATCAGTTGTAACATCTCTACAGCTTCGGTCATACAAATCTTGTAAGTGAGGTGGTAAGCTGTCCTCGTGTAAGGGTTTGACATCCTAATCTTTCCTCAAACTAAGATCTGATAGCACAGTTCTCTCGCTGATGGGTTCTTTTTAATTATCTTGTGAAATTAATTCAATGCTAACTCCACATAATGATAAGAACTTATTTTATCCCCTTCTTTAATGTTTCTACAAACTTGAACACTTGTACACTGTCGACAATTGCTGAAAGCCTATGTTACAAATGATATCAACAAACTGGAAATAAATCAATTAACTTGTGAAAATAACCACAATAATTAATACACTGACTGGTTTATTCTCTCTCTAATGCTACCTACTGTTCTCTTGACTATCTTTCAACTCGTTCTCAATTTAACTAACAATGTTTCACAAAATATCACGTTTATCATCTACTCTTTTTCTTGATATTTCTAGGACTTTTTTGATCTTGTGCCTTCTAGTTAACCCGTAAATTAAACTAATGACAATATTAAAAATATAACCATTTTATGTCATTAGTTTGTTAATAAATAAATAAATAGTTTTATGTACTGTTACCATCATTACAAAAAAGTAGGGTTATGTTTCGTAGGTGGTCAAAAGCAAAAATGAAATACAAAAGGCAAGATGTAAGTACTAAATTTTTGCTTTTTTTATACTTTTATTTATTTTTTATCAAAATAAATAAAATGTGAAATTGAGAAACTTATTAGGTTAGATAAGGAAACATAAAAAGTCAAATAACAAAAATTTCTCAGGAAGTTCTGCATCAGAACTACGTGTGTATTATGTAATTCAATATTGTTACGTCTCGGTTCGTTAATTAATTTTCCGTAAATTCGTTCCGACGAAACTTTAGCGACACAAGTCCTTTCTTAAATAAACTGGTTTATTCTTTCCGAATACAACTTTACGATACACTTAATTTCAACAGTCGCTCTATAACAAACGCTAGAACGTCTCACATGCTCGTGCTCGACAATACTCAATTACACACTCTCTGACTGCAGTTCAGTTACTCATTACCTACACATTGTCCCGTCACGTTGTGACCATCTTATATATACCAGGCTACCCCCAATCTAGTAATCTCCCGACAATTCACGAAGGTTCGAGAAAGAAGTGGCGTGATAATAGTCACGTGACCTCGCTGACGCAACAATATCATAACTTGAGCTACACATTTTCTGTGTTTTACAGCTTATTATGCGGGATTAGCTGTTAGACGCGGATCAAAGAGCAGTAAGTCTGCCAGTGGGTCAGTGGTAAGCTTATGAACTTATAGTACTAGAATCTGGAATTCGTTTCCTAGTGGTGGACACTGCAAATAACTTTAAAACAAACAAACGGTAATAAAACAGATATAAACTGTTACGAGCCTGATTCTGTTTAGGAAGGATAAATAACTGTAATTTTCTGTTGCAATCTTCAGATATTTATTCTACAAAGAAGAAAGTTTAATTTATATTTTCTTAATTTTTTGTTTTTAGTGATGTTACAAGATCGGTCAAATGGACCAAGCTCTTATAGTTTTAGGGTAGAGAAAATAAATATATATATATATATATATATATAAAGCTTTATTGAAAAAACTTCTGATATTCACTTAGGAGGTTCTTCAGTTACAAAAGTGAAATTTGAAAAACCTGAAAACCAAAAGTTCTTAATTAAATTGTTAGATTTTTTCTTTGCAAAAGACCTGCAATGTCTGCTAAAAGTTTGACTAATTTCGTATAGGTACACTTTCTACATTAAAAGTTATATTATGTAGTCTTTCATGGGTTTCTAGTAGTTAGATGATAAAAGCAAGGTTGGTTAAAATGTCAGAGCTGGTATACAAATAGTTAAAAGAAAGAAGCGTAAGATTTAAAGAATAATTCAAAATAATAATAAATATCACTTAAAAAAGATCAATTAAACTATAGGGGACAAACAGAGCGATCTTGGTAAGTTTGAAGAAATAAGGAGAGATATCAATGTACAGGAAGGCTGTAACAATAAGACTGAAGAAGTACAGAAAGATATCACTGAAGTGAAAAACGATGTAAAGAAAGACATCAACGAGGCATAAAAGAACATCTGGAAAACAAATTACTATATCCAAAGATTAAACCTGCCACAATTCTTCCTGCATGGAACACCTTATTTGGTCTACACCTATTACCACTAGGGTTGTGCCACCTGTTACTGAACAATCTTCCTGAGCTATTCTAGCTTTGATACCAAATCCAGTTTCAGAATTTAGCTGGTCAGTTCAACATTGGCCAATAAAGAAACCTATGGATTATGATGAGAAATATACCAGGCTCACTTTTAAATCATCTCCAGGGTGAATGGGTGAAAGTTCTCCATCTTGTTGTAAGTTTATCTTTGATAACATTAAGTAACCTTCCAGATAAAAGATGTTAACAACTGTCAAGTATTAGAAACCACTTTATCCAACAGGTTGGAGTAT